TGCTAAGGCTTCTAAGGCGCGAAAAGACACGAAGCACTGTGGAGGCTGTTTGGGAGGGCCAGGCTTACCACTTTACTGCTACGAGTTACTCCTTACTACTACTACTTACTACTTAGACGTCTTACGTCTTACAGACTTACGAGGACCTGACACAGCAGGCAGTGCTTGCCAGGCACAAGGCTTATGGCTTATGGGCCTTTCAAAACAGGCAAGGCATTTCAAAGAAGGGATGGAGTCAAAAGATTCCAAAAATCATCTTTCAGGAAAGTAACTATAGTTACAAGCATAACAGTCCGCGACCTACAGCACCCAACGGAAATATTATTGTTCTTAGTATCGTCACACGTTTACATAGACATAGACATAGATGAAGTATTTAATAGAAACACGTCCAGCAAAGGACATGAAACAAACCGAGAAACTCACCGATAATGTCGTTGACTTCTGATTCTGGGGGCCCCCAAGGCCTTTCTCCAGCTTCATCATTAGCCGCAGCAGCCGCCCTGTTCGCAAAAAGGAACCAAGCTTTGCTGTGACTGTGGTTTGCATCGACCAAGGTCACTGAGCCAAGTGGTGCCGGCACGACGTCCCTCCCATGCAACCGCTGCATCAAAGGCTTGAAGAGGTTGTGATGAAGGCACAGGAGTCCAACCCAGGAGCATGTGGATTCGAAGCTCATGATCCGGGCTCGGTTCAAAAGTGGGCAGCATGATGGCAGAAGAGCTGGGATGACGAAACGACGCATTTCCTGCAGCACAGCATCACGGCTCCGATCATCCGTGGTATAGTGCACGACAGCCTCCTCTTGGAGATTTCCGTTCAAATACGTGCTGAGGATCCCACGTTGTTTCTTGGACAGCAGCTCCTCGCTGGGTGCCCCAGGTGGTTTGTCGCTTGACATCCGAGATTTCAAGCCATCAAGAAAGACATCGTACAGAGCTTCTCGATATTCTGCATGAGTGGGCGGCCCACGCCTGACTTCCAGTTTCTCCTCCAGAATCTCTGCAAGATGCATTCGAAGTTGGCCGACAACCCCGGCAAGACGAGTCGCAAGTCCAGCACTGACCATGCCAGAAACATTGCTCTCTACCAGCTGTAACATGGATTTTTCACAGGATGCCAGTTTATGCACATCACACGGACTGTGGACATGGATCCACGGGGCCATGTCCCTTTCTTGGGCAGTCTGTCTCAAGGACCGTTCCGCTGCCAGATTGCTTGCAGCACGATCGGTCGTGACCTCGTCTGGAAACACACATACCTTTGGATAACCCACAGAGCTGTAACCCCACGGCTTCCAAATTCTCGAGCTTGCATCGGTGAGCCAACGTGTGGTACTAATAACTAAAAACTAATACTAGTTACCAGTTGCTTCTTGGATTGTTATCTGTTATTGAACTGTTATTGTTGTAAGCTAGGCAAAGAACCATCTTGCTAAGACAGCTGCTGCTAGTCAAAGCCTTGGCCGCCTTAGCCGCTAAAATCACTAAAAAAACGCCGAGGGAGTTGGTGAGACAAGACTCTGCAGCCACCGGTCACATCCGAAAAGGCCCTCCATGATGAATAGTGAATAGTGGGTCGTGATAATGATTAGCATGGTTTCATTAGCAGCTGCTACTAAGCCCCTAAGCCCTAAGCCACTAGGCACTACACCACAATCACCATAAGCCAAGAAGCAGTTCTCGACCGTAATGAATCTGGGAACTCAACTAGTAACTAGTAACTGTAGTAACTAGTTTCTGTGGCAGGAATGAGGGGAGACAAATCAAGACCATCATTACCTTCAATGGATCAATGCATCTATGGCGACCTATGACCCTATGACCCTGACTCAATGACTCAATGACTCAATGGCTCAATGGGTACGGGTACACACTTAAAGGCTTAAGGCTTAAAGCTTACCCTCACACAAAAACCGAAAAGCCGAAAAGCCATGAGCCATAGGCCGAGACACCAGGCTTACCCTGTACCGGAACAGAGGCGCCAAGCCCCAGAGTCCAGTCACCAAGCCCATGACTCGCTCCTGTGTGTATCGGATGTTTTCTGCAGTCCCTGAATCAATGGTCTGCAGTGGACATGGCACCTGGCCTGTCAGCAGAATGTATCGCTGAGAAGGTGTATGGCGAACAAGAAAGAACAAACCAAAGCGTGATTGAAGCACTTTCGCAGCAGTCCCCGTTGTTTTGGCCTGGGTCCGGAGGCTGTCTTGCCCCATGCTTCCAGTGCCCGCTTCAGAGATGCGTATCTTATGAGGTGTCTCATCATAGCGACGACAGCACCCAAGAACCAGTCCTTCGTACGAGCTCTTCGTGATCATGTCTCTTACTGTTGCGAAAAACGACGCCCACAGATAGGACCCGGATTGAACACAAGCTGCTGCCAGTCGTTGGGACAAACGCCCCTCAAGAGACCATGCACGGTCAGCATTTTCGGCGATAGACCTCAGTGACGAGACCGCACGCCTGCCAGAGAAAAGATAGTGCTGTGCAACGTTCTCACCTTGATTCGTGTCTGCCGTTGCCGGACACTTGTGCTGCTGCGCAGCAAACAAATACAGCTGCTGCTGCAAAGGTGTCCCAACATTCAAGAACTTGAAATGCTGAAGGGATGAATGCTGCCCGAAGTCAGCATTATTCTGTGAAGCTGGAAAAAAACCGGAATCTGCGCCGGCTGCTCGTGCTGCGACTGGGTTTAGGGGATGCGCCAAAGCCCTGATGTTCTGTCGCACAACAGAATTTCCTACAGTTCCACGTGGCCTTCCAACCTTAGCCTTAGCTTTTGGCGGGCCACTCGTAGGCATTCCATGATTCTGCCCAGGTGTGGGAAGCAAACCAACAGTGTCATCAACCCCGACATGCACAGTCGAAGAAGACGCTGAAGACAACACCAGCGGCAGCTGATCATGTGCATCTCGTGTGACTCCGGCATGATCATGAGGCACAGCAGATTGCTGCGAACCCAGGCTAGTGTCAACAGATGCCTGCTCTCTCCTGTTGATTCTTGAAAGCCAGCTGGAATGCATCTTCACCTTCACCCTCCATCTTCACCTTCACCCTCCATCCCCTTCAGCACGGATTGGCGGGCACAACGGATCATGATCGTGAGACTTCAGACTACAGTGACTGTGCGTGTGTGAGAGCAATTAGGAATCCAGGAAGAAATCGATGCCACCTTCATTGGATGGGACTGATGCTTTGTATTGCTAGAGCCTAGGCGTGGGCATAGGAGTATAACCTTCAAGGGCAACCATGCTGTGCAATGTACAGCACACAAAGATTGAATTTAGTAGCAGTCAACAATAACAGGTAACAGGTAGCACTTAGCAAAGGCCTCATCTGCAATGGAACCAGTGCACCACTGCTGCTAACTGCTATTGCTGATTCCTGCTGACTGCTAGCCGCTGATTGATACCACTAATTTGCCAGCCACTGCCAGCTCTTCACTTGAGAGAACAGAATATGCCACAACATATCGGATATGACGGATATGAACTTGAAGCGGCTGTTGTCGGGTGCTGCACCCAGGGAAAGGAGATCTGTCTGTTGAACACATACATGTACACTGACCTACACGCTAAGACTGACTGCAGACTCCTTGGACATCACTAAATTTAGTCACTAAATAGAAGCCTAAAGTGGGCCTAAAGTCTAGGTCCGAGTCTAGGTCTAGGTCTAAGTGCACATGAGCTCAACCCAGAGCCCTGTATTATAAAGATTGTAGCAGTATAGCATGCCATGGCACTTACTATTACTAGGCCTCAAGGGGTACACCATGCACTTTAAGACTTGAAGTCTCATCCCTGACACTTACCCGAATTACCCGGTTAGCCTTAGCCTTAGGCTTAAACTTAAACCTCATTCCTCACCACCCAACCCCTATATTGCACAGCAATGGTCACTGGTCACTGGTCACCGGTCCGAAAAGTCTACATCGGCAGGTCAGGATACAGAATCTCACCGAAACAAACAATCATGTAACGGAGTCAAATCACATCATGAACCGAACCACAGAAAAGCCTCACACCAAACACAATCCTGCAAGAGAAACGTGATCTACTATACCGGCTGGCCTGGTGCGATGGATGTTCAGCCAGCTCTCCATCTTGAGCTTGTGAACGGTAACGTGGTATCCGCCCCGCGGAAACTTCAGCGCTTGGAGCTCCATCAAGAACCTGGCAGAGATGTGTTTGGACCTCAACTACTCAAATCCCAGCTTTGTATACTGTTTTGGACCACAATGTCACACGTTGTCGTACTTGAAGTCACAATAGGTTGAGTGGTTAGCGGTTAAGCATGAAAGCATGGCTGAGCCTCTGAGCCCCCCAAGGCCTATTTGCAATACTATGAAACCGTATCTTCCGTTGGTAGGAAGGTGTCAAATCGGTGCCAGATGAGACAACTCATTGCTGATAGTCATCTGATAGTCATAGTCAGCCTGGGGCGATCTACTTTTCCGGATGCACAAAATTCAGACACAAAGCATGTGGTCACCACCCTTTTTGCATGTCAGGTCGTCGGAATCGACATTTAAGCCTTATAAGCCAAGCCATCACTTGCAATTGCGTGATGATTAGCGGTCAGTGGTTAGGGTTCGCAGTTGCAGTTATTCCCGGCATCTGCTGCTGGCTGCTAGCTGCGAGCTTCGAGCTGGAGGCTTCTAGGGCGGCTAGCGGCTAGCGGCTAGCTTCCTTGAGGATCTCAAACAAAGTAAAACAATGGCTGCTTCCATGGCAGCCAGGCGGTGAGTGTAGTGTGTAGTGTAGTGAAGTGACATGATCAGGAACCTTGTGACCTTGTGACATTGTGCTGGCAACACACTGAAGTCACTGAAGACACACCGAAAAATCAACGTGCATTGAGAAACAAGTGCACTGTATTTACGGTATTTTGTCTAATCTAATCTAATCATGATTAGAATCTAATCTAATGACTCACACAAACCCTGTACTGAAAATGTCATTATAGGACTTATAGGATCCCAACAATGCAACCCAAAAAGCACTAAAGATTGACAAAGTCATTACAGCGGGACTCGGACAGGTCAGATGCTCTCCGAGGCCCAAGCTGGTCCATCGGAGTCTTCGTCACGCTGTTCGACTCTGCCATCGCAAAGCCCTCTGTCTGCTCCATGGTGGCCGTCGGCGGGTTGAACTTCATAAGCATCCGCCAAATATCCCCAAATGTATGCACTGTCAATGTGTGTGCTTTCACAGTCCCATCATGGAACCTCTTCGGGCTCATAACAGAAAAAGGGTTGCAAGGGCTCCCTATCACCATGTAGTCACAGTCACCTATCTGGCATTTGTTGCTTTCACCAGCATGCAACACACAGGCCGTACCCTGCAGCTGATCCTGCATCGTCGAGTGCCAATGCAAAGCTGTGTGATTGGCCTGCGCAAACTTCTGGAAGCTCGGGTTCGGCTCACTGGCACTGACACATGTCATAGGGATGCCCAGCTCCTGGCAGAATCCAGCTGGGTTCCCGACTCACCGGTTTGGCAGGGCCGGGGAATGACAAACACAGGGTCCAAGTTGGGCCTGAGTATAAAGAGTCCGGGACCCTAGGCCTCGGGGTCCTAATAACATGCTGAGCGACATGCTTGTTTCAGGGCACTCATTTGGACAAGCGGCTATTCCATGGCTATGGGGAGGCCACACTTTCAGATACTACGTGTGAACACTTCATTTTAAGGATGCGGTGACACACAGACATGCCAAGGAAAGCATCCTGTTCACGCTGAAGCTGGATACACTTGGGCGTCCCATAAATTATTAGTTATTAATCCAAGCAAGAAGATCAAATGGTTCCCAGATTCCCAGATTCAAATTGAAATTCACCAAAATCCCTGCCCTCTCTCCTTGAAGCACACGCCCTCTGCAAAGCTTCCGGTGCACGCACTGAGAAGTTTGACTGGTCGAGTTGCTTCCGAATCCGGGATCTTCAGGCCCAGGCTGTGTGTATGATGCAGCAACATTCGGGCCCACCAAACTCTGCTTGCCGCCTCAGAAACTGAATCGGACAACTCCTGAGACAGAACATCCTCCTGCGCAGTCTGCTTCACTGCAGTAGCGGCCAGACAGCTCCACCCGGGATGCATTGCGAAGCGAAAAAGCCGTGGCACTCTCAAAGTTCTGCCATACTGATCTACACCAACATTTCTTAATCCCCTTACATATCAGGACTGCTCACGTCAGAATCCAAGTGTGTGTGTGTGTGCAGTGGTATTGGCCACAGCACCACTTGGTGATAGTCAGTACATCGAGTCTAGTTCAGAAGCCCTGTCGCGAAAAAGTCATGAGCTAGAACCAAGTGTTATACTTGTTCTGACATCTGTGCCATGCTTCTCTCGTACAGGCTGTGCGCTACTGACGTTTCTGACATGTGATATTGTCTATAGTCTATGCCACATGCTGTAGCCTGACCATTGCTGCATGCATTGACAACTTGACACCATCTGCAAAATGTATTCATGAGAAATCTCTCGGTGTACCCCAGTACACCGATCGAAATGGGCACGGCTTGGACCAAAAACCGTCATGGTAGAAACGTTTGGCCGATGCAAAGCACACCTGACTAGCAGCGATTAGATTAGCAGATTAGCAGCCATCGGCACGTGTCTCAGACGGAGGCAAACAATCGGAATGTTGCGACCAGGATGTCTTTCGTGTTCCCAATAGACACACCACTTCTGAAACCAGTCGAGTTTCCCGACAAGAGACATAAACAAACCATACATGTGTAGCATGCATGTGAGAAATGGCAGTACACCATAAGAGTTTGTTGGTAATCACTTATTAAATCAATATAAATTCAATATAAAAAATCCATAAAATTTCCATAAATGCCAAAAAACAAGATTCATAGTAATATCATAAATATTTCATAAAATAAAATTATTGGCCTGGATGGGGGCTGTAGTAGGGTTTGCTGATCATAAACATAGCACAGCACCCTTAAAAAGGAGCCCAATTCAGAGCACTACCCAAATTCAAATCACTGAATCAAGTAGAGGCAGCAAGGATTGCAAGTTTGACGGGGGCAACAAGAAAACTGCACTGCCTGAGCCTGCAGCCAAACCCGAGTAAAACCCTGGTGTAATCCTAAAACGTCAGAAGCATCCTCAAACCTGACAAGACCCATCATTAATCTCTAGACTCTATCTAAACACTACTGCGTTGAAGACAACACAGTTAAACCTAAACCCTCAACACTTTAAATCCCTTTTTACACCTGGACTACGCATATGCCAGGAACTGAGGCGCCGACTGTGCTGTGGGCTCGTGCCACACGGCTACCCCAGATTGCAAAAACTGATTAACTGGTCATACCAAGTTTCAGGATGCAACGACCACGTGGCTACAACTCCAAGATCCTTAAAGACTCGGGAAGTAGACCCGTGGCCCTAAACCCGAAACCCTGAAGCCAAACCCTCAAACTTAGGGGTTGAGTACCCAAATTAGCCCACAAAGGGTTAACCTTTCACAGTATAGTACCTAAACCCCCCAAATATGTCACAATGATTGCCCGATTCCCCTAAAAGGCTAGTATTCTACATACTTAACATACTTTTGGGGTCCAAGTAGGATTATATAAACCGCTGAAGGTTAAAGGTTACCTTCTCGGCCACTCAGTGAAGCAGGCGGGGTGGTCCCACGAGGCCGCTCTTCGGGACGATCGTCTGGGCTTTACGAGCTTTTTGACCTCAGCTGCAAGGTTTAGGATTTAGGGGTTTAGGGTTTAGGGGTTTAGGGTTTCGACGTTTAGGGTTTAGGGGCTTAGGAGTTTCAGGTTTAGGGGTTTGGGGTAATGGTTTGAAGGCTTGTTTTTGCTTTCGGGGCGCTGTGAGGTTCTCTTTAAAGCTTTCCTGCGCCTGGCGTCGTTCAAGTCTGACGAAGCCACAAGCCCTGACTCTTGCAGCCATGATGCCTGAAGCTTATTACTTGCTTTACTAGTATTAGTAGAATTAGTTGTATTGTAGTATTAATTAAACTATTAGTAGTATTCGTTACCCAACTCTCGGAACCTTTCCCAAGACCCTGCAAAGGTAGGTAAAGTAATGGCCCCAACGCCCATAAAAAGGCCATTAGTCTATGCTCTTTGGGGATCCCGGAAGATCCTAAACCCTTGAAACCCTAAACCCTAAACCCTAAACCCCTAAACCCTAAACCCCTAAACCCTAAACCCCTAAACCCTAAACCCCTAAACCCTAAACCCCTAAACCCTAAACCCTAAACCCCTAAACCCTAAACCCCTAAACCCTAAACCCTAAACCCTAAACCCCTAAACCCTAAACCCTAAACCCCTAAACCCTAAACCCTTGAAACCCTAAACCCCTAAACCCTAAACCCCTAAACCCTAAACCCTTTAAACCCAAATCCCCAAACTCTATGCCTACAGCCTGAGCCCCAAAGTCTCAGCACCGAACTCTTGAAATGACACCGTTCCTCGAATGTTGGAGTCAGCTCCAAAATAATCTAAAGCACCACCCCTTTTCAAGGGTTTAGGGTTTAGGGTTTAGGGTTTAGGGTTGCAAAAGAAACTATTAACACCCTGTTTATAAGGGTTCAGGATTATATGAAACTCTATGAGTCTATGGATCGTGAGACTCTTGAAGCCTCATGAAACTTTGCACCTTGGCGCTGTACCCGGGAGGTACCCTGTGGAAAACCTTGCAGAAACTAGCTTCGCCCTTTGTTAACCTACATTTCGCGAGCATAGCGGCAAAAACCAAAACCCAAAACAAACCCTGTACAAAGCGAAACAGGTGGCCTTAGAACAGTTACAAGATCGTAACTTGTCCAGGCGTCCAAGCACCCTGGCAACCCATCAAGTGCCGTTGAATCCAAGCAACCAGGTTTCCGGCAAACCCTGATGCACGAACCCGCAAATCCACACCTAAAGCTCACACCCACCCACACACACACACGCCCAAGACAAAAATGATTTCAACGCTCCAGACCCTCGGTGCTCTTAGCACGTGCGACAATAGGGCTACCCTCAATGCTGAACCCTTCAGGAAGCGGCAGTCCGGCTCATGGCCGATGTCCCCTCCTGAGCAAAGGGCCCGGCCAGGGATTGGAGAAACTTTGGTAACATAGGTGGCTAGTTGTCAAAGTTGAGGCCCCTTTTTGGGGGCCCCTAAATAATAGGTGCCGTATTAGGACAGGGACCCAAAAAGGGACCATAATTGTGACAACCACCCAGGTGGATTTAGATCGGAGAATTTAGGATTGAAGGTTTGGGGTTAAACCTAATTTGCGAGGGGCTTCATAGAGTAGGGAATTGCAGGCTTCGAACAGGTTCAGGGCTTTCTGTGGCTTGTGGATATGCGGTTTGCGCCTCAGGGGCCTTCTATTCCTAAGGCTCCATGTGCCCATATGGGAGTTTCCGATTTTGAAGGGTGCCTTGTTTTTGGGGTCCTTCTAATAAGGATCCTACTATCTAGGGTACTATATTAGGGTACCCTATTTTCGGAAACTCCCATACAGTAGATACATAGGCCTTATAGTACCCATATATGGACCCTTTAAGGCCAAAGTATCTACTATAAAGGTACATGGAGCCTTAGGGTATTGAGTTATAGCTTCCTTCCCCGATGCGCCAAGGAAGCTTAAGGTTAAGCTACCCATAGGCCCTAAAGTAGTTCCTTCTGGGGATTACCTTATAGAATTCTGTATATGAGCCCCAAAAAGGAACTACTTTGGGGCCTCTGGGTACTGTCAACCCCTCTCAAATCCGGAAGAGTTTCGGGCGCCGGGGCCGTACACCCTGAACTAGACCCGCTGTGCCACTGGACTCAAGTCTAGCCAGACATCGACCTGAACTAAACCCTACAATCTATATAAACTCTGAAGACGGTGGACTTTGGATTTGACTGTTTGGCGGTTTTTTTCTCGAGTGTCAGGAGTTCCTACCGAAACTGTGAGGTGCCGTCGAGCTTGGGGTTAGGGTCTTGGGGTTGCGGGTGTAGGACTAAGGGTGTAGGGTTCAAGCTATTTATGTCACGCTGCCGCGTGGGGTTTATGGTTGCACTGCCTTCTGCTTTTTCGCACTTGCTATGGCTTTAGAAAGTCCTTGGTATTGAGAGCTCTCATGGTCTGTCGCTGTATCTTCAGGCTTCTATCTTTGACTATCTCGTTTGTTCGCTGCAATGTGTCGGGGCTTGCATACAAGTTGTAGCCGGAGTCTGGTGAAATTAATGTCGACGGCTCGAGGGGGATCCGGTGTGTGGGCTCGGCCTGCACCCCCTGTCTAAGCACTAAGCCACTATACCCTAAGGCCCCAAAGTAGTTCCTTTTTGGGGTTCCCACAAACCCTCAACACTACACTACACCCTATAAACCTATGAATCCCACTATGTAACCCGAACACAAAGCACTTGGGAGCAAGCCGGCCGTAGCATCTCGTTCTGGGCAGACAGATTACCCTAAGGCTCCATGTGCCCATATAGTAGGCCCTCAGGCCTTAAAGAGGTCCCTATATAGGTACTTTAAGGACCTACTATATGGGCACATGGAGCCTCTGGGTTAGTAGGCTTAGGGTGTTTGAGGTTGTTTAGGGCCCTCTTTTCCGTGGCTGAAAGGATTTTTGGGTTTGGGAGAAGCTGCCGCCGTAAAAGTGTGGTCAAGGGGCTTTGATTAATCTGGACTTCGATCCTTCCCTAAACCCCACACCGTGCTGTATACTGTTTAGGGTTTCAGGCTCATGATTTCGGATACCGGGGGTCATCGATCTCAGACAGACTTGCCAGGTGACTACCACGCGGAAAACTTCCAAACTTCGTCGACCTTAACCTTGGGAGGATTCGGTTTATGGGAGTTTCCGAAAATAGGGGACCCTAATATAGTACCCTAAATAGTAGGATCCTTATTATAAGGACCCCAAAAGAAGGTACCCCTAATTTTCGGAAACTCCCTTATTGGCCTAAGGATTAAAGGGTTTCGGGTTTGCATCTGGTTTGCGATTCATCTATGTTCTTAGAATTAGGGGCTCTGGGTTTAGGCTCAATGCTGCCGACTGCCCATGGAACAAATGCTGGCAATACTTTGTCCATGGCTCTTGTGGTTGCTGCAGGATTTTCTCCATGTGCAGCATCCGCGTTTGTGGCTTCCTGAAGTATACACTTGCTCCGAAGTACCGACATCGGGATACCTTTTCAGGATTGCGTGAATCAAGTATGTACTACATGGATACATGCATGAACTCTGTAAGCCCCGAAAAAGCCGTCCCTGGCCTCTGTACTACAACGTCATCAGCGGAGCCCTTGACGGAATGCTGAGGGTGTGTAAAACAGTGGCCTTTATAGAGGAACCATCCAAGTTTCGTTATTCTTAGGACTTATTGAGCGTGGTGTTTTTGATTTTCCAACTTTGTTTTTGCATTACGTACAACTTTTGCACGTACAAGACACGATGATAATCATAACCACAAAAAGAAGAAAGCCTGTGGCCGCATAAGTCAGGGCCTTTCACGAACCCTGAACCCTACACCGTCCGTGAACCGTAAAACCCTACAACCTACACCCGTAAACCCTACGTGGACCCCAAAGGTATGTAGAATAAGAGCCTTTTATGGGTATTGGTCCATTTTTTACCTACTTTGGGGGGTTTAGGTAAACGCCAAGCCCGAACCCCAGACCCTAAGGCTCCATGTGCCCATATAGTAGGCCCTCAGGCCTTAAAGAGGTCCCTATATAGGTACTTTAAGGCCTAAGTACCTACTATATGGGCCTCTAGGAGACCCGAGCCTAAACCCCTAAACCCTAAACCCTTAACCCTTAAACCCTAAACCCCTAAACCCCAAAACCCCTAAACCCTAAACCGAAAGACAAGGACGCCCAGGGCCAGGCCGCGCTCTTCTCCGGCACCAGCAGGCCAAGCAGATCTCCGGGGTCTTCTGAGATACCCACACTGGCCTCGGAGGCTTTCTCTTGTTTGGTGTGTGTTTTTTTTGGGGGGTTCGAGTTTAGAGATTTTTTTGTTTTGAGCTCCTTTTTGCACGCCTGATCATCCAAGCGAGTTTAGAGTTCAGGGACTCAGGACGTTTCCGGCTGGCCCAATGTCCCACAATCAAAGATCTTCTCTCCAATCATAAGAAGAAGCCGCTTCTCATCTAGGGCCCCTTAAGAACAAGCATCCTGGAGATAGCAAAATAAACAAGCAAAAGGGTACCAGTGGGAGAAAAAGTCATTCAACAAACATTCCTTAACTGGAGTGCCCTGTAGAATCCAGCATAACAGCCATACGGCACACCTTAGGTTTTGGTTTATAGGGTTTAGGTGAAAACTAATATGCCCGCCTTAAACCCCGAGCCCAGAAGGGGTCGACTCCACTTTTCCACAAGCTTGCGGCGCAGCATCCGCCAAAACCCGTATCATACGCTGTACACCAATGCCTCAGAGCAAGTACCGTAAATCACACGGCTTCGGTTTTGGGCTTTAGGGCTTTGTGCTGGAAGATGCTTTGACGGCTTTACGTTGGCTTTGGGATTTTGGAGCGTGTGCGCCTGGGGAGTTTAGGCTGCAAGGTTTGGATTTGAAGCACTTGTCACATGTTGGCATTGCTTCCCATCCTTGGCGAGAGCAGGCACGTTTGATAGTTCGCAGAACCATAGAAACTCATACAGAAAATTGTCTTTAGGCCAGAACCTCTGCCTACTACCTTGGCTCATATATGGCCTTTGTATGACTGAATCTCATTGGTGTTGTGCGATGCTGCATGAGCATCCTGGGGGTCTTAAACTAAAGGAATGACCTCCCACACAGTTCACCTATAAGGCTGAGGAGTAAGGAGGGTTCACCCCGGGCGTCTGTATCTGCAGATCACGAGGCGAGAGTTTATGGCTCAAGGCGCCGAATGTCAATTATGAGCGAAGCAAATGCATGAGCCGTCGATCCCAGTGGCTGTAACCTCTGGCCCAAAGCAAACATGAAGGCTTAGATCCTAGCTCGGCTCAAGTAACTGTACTTCGACGTATGTATAACTCAGTTAAGTTACTCATACATAGCCTGAATTGCGAAGCCCCCTGCAACCTGAAACCCTCTCTCGGTGTGTGTAACTCTCTCTCTCTCTCTCTCTCTCTCTCTCTCTCTCTCTATATATATATATATATGTATGTATATACATACATACATATATATCTATATATATATATATATATAGAGAGAGAGAGAGAGAGAGAAACGCGCACACACACATACACACACACACACATAAATATCCGTACTTACTAAGTCGCATGAACCTCAAGTGACAGCTCTGCCATGGAATAGCAATCTGCTTGCATGTGCATGCCGGCCTGTTGCCGGATCCCACCAGAGGGAGAAGACTTTAGGCTCCATGTAATACAAGGGCTAGAAGAAGGTTTCGGGAAATATGATATGGGACCTATTCAGGTGATACCGTAGCGACTCTCTGACTAGTTGTAGACCCTGACGTAGAATTCGAGGGATCCTAGTATTACCCTGGGTGTCCAAACGACGCAACGATGGGGTACTTGAGTTTAGGGCAGTAATTAGTCGTCGTCATCGTCGTCGTCGTAGTAGTAGTAGTAGTAGTAGTTTTGGCAGTAGTAGTGTAGCTTAGCATTCCGCAGAGTAAATACATGATTATCAGGTACTCAGGCCCTGAGCCTCAGGGTTAGGGTTCAGTCAGTGTCTTCTCCCATAAAGCGCAGCCGAAGTACCAACCCCCACACTTCGAAGAGGGCGTTGCGGGTTTAGGACTCAGGGCTTCGAGGTTAAGGCTTCAAGCAGCTCCAACCTCCAGGTATGTTAACCCCCTGGCCCAAAATTGTCAAACTCTGGTTTTGGTTGTCTTTTCTAGAGTTCACTAGCACTTGTATATTCAAGCCTCTAATTCGAGCCACCTTTTCTGGGGCTTCTTATCTGCTATCTACACTCGATAGCAACGTCCGCGCTCGGTGGTACTTCGGATCGAAATCTTCCGACTACAGCTTTATGTAGTCGTCGGTGGTCTCCTGCAGCGGAAGATATGGCCCGGACGCCCGGCAGAGGAAGAAGGCCAGGTATCCACCCATGCTGCTCAGAAGCAGAGCTGGAAGCCAGGAAGCAAGAGATAGATCCTCAGAGAACCGAAAAGCTAAAGGACTACCGGGAGTTAACTTCAAGCTCTGGAGCTCGGACTTGATGACAACACGGTTAAATTTTACAGTTGAAGAAAGACTTGCGGACCATGGCCCATCGCAGCTTCTTTCCAGGGCTTAAGGTTGGTATGCCGATTACGCTTTTCTGGTGTGTTAACTGCTTTCTTTTGGGTTTTCAGCGGTTGAGCCCCCCTCTCCCGAAGAACATACTATTACTAAATGTCCTGAAGCGAAATCACGTAAGTTGCCTGTAAATACCGGCACAACTCCGCGAACACTAACCCAAACACCCTAAACCTGCTCAAAACCTAAACCATGAACTCCGAACCCTCCACGCGAAAGGACCTCCTGTGAAGCACATCTGATTCTCTTGAAAGGTTAGGGAGACATAGGAAGCAGGCCCATCTACGCAGCAGGAAGGACCATACCCCAACTCATAGCCTACGATGCTCATCTTCTCATACCTCTAGAGCTTGCTGACGGCCATCGTCGTCAAAATGCCATGAAGATCATCATCCCAATTAATGTAGTTTCAGTCTTGTTTTGGAGGGGGACCCCCTTCGCTTGGGAAGGGGTACTGCGTAGGCCTCAACCACAGACAAAGACTGAAACTTATTGCCAGTGGAATGCGGCTCGACCGGAAACCCAGTGTCCCAACGTCAACCCTCACCCTGCGTCATGAAGCTCTGAATCTTCGTTGAACCCTTGAGGGCCATGCACAAGGAAGCCACGCCACCAATTCGAGGTGGTGCAGCGGAGGGTAAGGCCCTACCCTAAGGCCCCAAAGTAGTTCCTTTCTGGGGTTCGTACATAGAATCCAATAAGGTAATCCCAAAAAGGAACTACTTTCTGGGGCCTATGGGTAGCGTCTAGATCGGTCAAGGCACAAATTTTAGGGCCGCACGGCCCTCGTAATATTGAGACGGTTCTGCGCGCCCTGTCGCATCGGGAACGAGGGTCACAGTCGGACCAGCCATGTCATGGATGACGTGGACCTTTCGTTTCCAACGTTCTCGAGTCTACCTATAGTCTCCATTGTAGTTCCTTTTTGGGGCTACCTTTTCGGATCCTTAGTATAAAATTGGCTAAACCCCCAAAGAAGGAACTACAATGGAGACTATAGGTAGGAGCTCGAGGATGGGATCAACGTAGCACCAAGTTTGTGGCTGCAGGGCTTGAAGAGTTTGAGCGTGGCTGTGAAAATTATGGCCCCGTTTTGGGGTACCCTAAATATGAGGTGCCGTACTATATTGGGGACCCAAAAAGGGATCATAATTTTGACAGCCACCGTTGAAGCCGTTGAAGCTTTGGAGCTATTGTAGGGTGTCATCAAAACGAACTGGAGCAACTCGACCAACAACCCGGAGCTTGACGAAGACCGTGTCGGCGATGATCGAACGGTAGCAGGACGGACTGAGCAACTGCTTCGTTTCACAAGCATGGAACCTACTATCAGAATAGCACCACATTATACAAGAACTGAGAAACATCGGGCATTGTGGACTAAGGACTCGACGAACAGCTTCAGAGCCTGCAGCGCCCAAGTGCTAAAAAACACCAAACACGGAATCTGCAAACCTCAACCAACCCCAAACCCTAAACTGCAACGCAAAAGTCTAAGCAGGCAAATGGTCAACATCAACAATGGCAGTGCAGCCCGGGGGAATCCTGAGCACCAAATACAGAACCCAAACCAAAAAAAATAAACCCCCACAGCCGGAAAGCCTGACACTCGAATGTCCTGCAAAGCCCGATCAAACCCCAAACCCTGAAACAAACACAACAAAAGATAAACACACCCAGTCGCTGCATGAGGTTATACCCTGGACCCTCCACTCTGAACCACGAAATGCTAAACCGGAAGGCCAAAACCACCAAAATCCGAGGGCATTCCAAAAAGCCCAAACCCCCCCAAAATCCGAGGCCTTCCGCAGAAAGACGTCTCCCAGGATCATGGAGGGAAGAGGCGGCGGGGAGGCGGCGATGAGACCGATGCCGATCCTGGGTTAATGTAGGGCCCCAAAAAGGGTTTAGGGTTTAGGGTTTAGATTAGGATAGGGATATCCCATATAAACCCCCTTTATAATGAAGCCCAAGAAGGTAGGGATATCCCCATAAAAATGCTTATGCTTATGTGCTTTTTGTTAGCCCCCTCTTCGGAGGGTCGAGAGGGATTCTACACCAGGGCTCCCTTTCAGGGTACTACGAATGAGCTCTATGATAGAGCCCCCTTTGAGAGTTCTAGGGGATTCTAAACTCTAGAGTCTTTTTGGTTTGGGGGTCTGGTGGGGTTACAGGTATGTATGTACTCCCTGTGGCTATCATAACTTCCAAGGCTCAACCAAAGGTCAGACTGCTTTGTGCAGGTCGAATGATGTAGGGCTTAGGGTCCTGCTTCAAAGCTAAAGTTCCTGAACAAACAGTTTTGCTGGGGGTTGTGTGATGTTATCCAACAAAAGTTCCTTAGTCGTGGTCGGCATAAGAACTCCTACCATTCAGGCGGTCCTTCATATGCCAATGGTCCCCCATTCTGCTTACCCTAAACCCTAAACCCTAAACCCGAACCTCAGAACCAACACTAGACAAACTGCACACGGCTTTTGTGGCTTAGGGTTTTAGGTCTAAACCTCCCCTAAGAGCAAGGTATGTGGTGAGGGAGGGTTTCGATTTAGCACCAAAAGCACGAACACCCTGAATCTTTAATAGCCAAAGCCCTAGTTCAGGGCTCAAGCCTCGCCATCTCCGAGCAAAGACCCTGGGATTCAACGGCAAGCATCCGACACATGGATCGCCCTTCGGGTGACCTGGGCTTAGTTTCGGAGCTTGTGGGAGAAAAACTGAACCCCAAGTAAGCCGAATAGGGCAACTGTAAGGGCGCTATTCGGGTTGCTATGTGGGGTGTGAATAAGGACTGACATTTAGTAAGCCGTAAGCATATGTAGCGCTACTGACGGTCTGCTTGATCTGACGGCAGTTATTCTTAGGGTATGAACGTACAGCACCTGTAGAAGGCTTGTAAGACGACAGATAATGTTCTGAAGACCGGGGGTATGCCATGGTCAAAGAAACCCCAACAGGGACTTGGAGTATGTAGCACGATCGTCCAGCTGATTAGGAAATGGGGCCATGAGGGTCTTGCTAACCAAACTCAAGTAGATTACAGCCAGAATGCCCGAAACAAGCAGGCCCGACTAAATCACAGATTATTTCGCACGGTTCCTTGGTGTAATCTTTAGCTATACCATCTTCGAAACAATACCCCTGACATCCTGTTCTAATACACAAGACCTCTGTGTCGTACTTGCTGGAGCTCTCCTGAGCCCTAACCCTAAATCCTAAACGTCCTGAAGCCCTAAACTTCTAAACCCATCCAGGAGACATGGTAACGGGCAGCAGGAGGTCTTTGCTCTCCAAGCGGACCTACGAGGTGAGGGAGAGAGAGAGAGAGAGAGAGAGAGAGATACGGAGAGAGACAGAGAGAGAGAGAGAGAGAGAGAGAGAGAGAGAGAGAGAGACATTCAGGCTGTAACATTGCTACAGCTGCTGTTGTTGCAAGTCTTCCCTGTCTCTCAAAGCTTGCACAAAGCTTGCCAGCCTCCAGCTCCCGCCCCCCGGAGGCGAAATGGACGATAAGGTCGTTCAGGTTGGTGGTCTCGCAATCCAGGAGGCCTTGGCGAACTAGGAAAACAGGGCCAATTTGAAATGTACCCTGAGAGGTCAAGGTAGGTTGCGGTAGATCCTTAACTGGTCCTGAACCCTAACATTCAACCCGAAAGCCACAAGAACACCCACTGGGTTCCCCAGTCGCTCCTGAAGAAAAAGGGTACTCTTTGTCGTAGTACTGGGCTTTAACAAGGAGACCCCAGCATACAAAGGCAAAAGGGGTGCTGCCGAGGAGACCTAGGCAACAGTCCTAAATCACCAACACGGCTTAGGGTTTAGGGTTTAGGGAACCCTAAACCCTAAATCACCAAGCCCTGGAACCCCACCCTTTGATCCGCACCCCCAGCCTTGCAACACCTAAGCACCTGCTAATGGAAATGATGAGGCACCGGGTAAGCGCCAGAGTTGATTGCTAGGATGCCCAGTAACCTAGGAATAAAAAGGGCTCCCTTTTTGGTGTTGGTTAACTTGATAAGGAACCTAGGACACAGAAAGGGAATAAAGGTACTACTGGGGATCCTAGATTGGGGTTCGAGACCCGAAACACCCAATACACTAAACCCCAATCCTGAACGCTCACCCATAACTTTCAAATCACCAACGGCCCCTAAACCCCGAAATCCCCTTAAACAAGCCCGGATGCGATTGGGGTCCGTAACCTGCTACCCCTAGAGGCCATCATGATAAGAGTGGGGCTTTGGGAGCGATTGACAGCCGTGTTTTTGCATGGGGACTGTACGGGGATACTCTTACTGAGTACTGCTTGTCCAGACCTCAGTATTACGCAAAGAGCTTCCCTTATTCACACAGTGGGACCGGGTCATGAGTTACATACGGATCATACGGGGTTCATGGGACATTACCTGTTCGAAACATAGATATAGATGGGCTCTGAACCCTAAACCCTAAAGGCTTAAGGGGCCGGGCTGCGATGGGGATCCACAAAGGTGCCGTAGGTGAGAGCTTCCATGGTCTCGTCAAAAGGCCTGGCTCGGCTTTGGTTTATCCTTTAAGGAGACCGACATGGGGTTTAAGGCTGTAGGGCTTGGAGCTTAAATTTACACGGTGTGGGTTGTGGGTCGAGAGCTTGGCGGGGCTTCGCGAGTATGGGTCTAGGCTCGAGAGTTTCTCAAACGACAGCGATTGTTGCGCCGCTGACTAGGATTGAGGTGTAGGAGGTTTGCGGTTGGGTTCTGGCTTAATTGAGGTCTTATAACGGCTTCCGCGACTAGCCCTTTTTTTTCAAGGTTGAGGGTTTGGAGCCTACAGGGTAGTGTTTGGATTTGTCGGTTTAGTGCCGCACGATTCGGCTTACGGCTGCTTCGATTATTGCATGTAGCGAATGGTGCGCAGCTCATGACGAGCGACAGCTGTTCCTTCGCAGCGGAAAGGATCGCCTTCTGGTAGACTACGTCTTCAATTTTAGTGAGATCCTTCAACAACAACCGTTCCGTAAGGAATCATACTGTATGGCAGCCTCTCTGGGTAAGCCCTCAGGAAGACGCCCGTCTCATCGTGCGCTAAACAAGCATCTGGGCAGTTCTTTGATTCAGATCGCGGCTCCCTCGAACAATATCCCTACCTGAGCCCAGTCACCGTCTTTCGGAGTTCTGTTGTTTCGATCCTTATAACACACAGTCATACATTCTACGATAACTTGTTCCGGAGTCCCGTTGTTCGGATCCTCTGCGCGGTCTAGGTTCACCACACACCATAACCTCCGAGCCCTAAAGGCGAGCCCCAGTCCCAAAGCCCTGTAAGCCCTGAAAGCGAACAGCAAGAACCTACACTGAACGAAACTATCATTCAAACCAGATCCTTAAACCCTGATTCAGACTCTTCAACTCTAAACCCGATAGCCCTGAACTCTGCAACCCTGACGCCCCCTGATCCCCGGAACACCCAAAAAACACAACAGAGAAACCCTTTCAACAATCCAATCGAGGCCGACAGGAACCATGAACCCTAATTTCCTTATAAACCCCAAATCCTACATGCGAACCCTCAACTCCAAGCTTCAACTTAAACGTAGATCCTCAAACCCCACACGCAACCCTAAACCCCAACCCCCCCCCCCAAAAAAAAAAAAAAAAAACATCAAACCCTAAACCCTAAAACCCCAAACCCTAAACTTCAATCCTGAACCGTTAACCCCTCCAAACCCTAAACTTCAACCCTAAACTCCAACACCCCCAAACCCCAAACTTCAACCGTTAAGCCCGCCGGGAGGTGCTTCTGAGAAAGAAGCATCAGCGAAGTCCCCGAGTCGAGGATGCCAAAGCCCGCAAGGTCCTTCTTTGGGGCTCCCTATGGGGCTTAGGGGTTTAGGGCTTATAGGGCTTATAGGGTTTAGTGTCAAGGGTTTAGGCTTTATAGGGTTTAGGCCTTCAGTGTTAAGGGTTTATGGTTTATAGGGTTTAGGGCTTTAGTGTTAAGGGTTTAGGGTTTATAGGGTTTAGGGCTCCCTATGGGGCTTCTTTGAGCGCTCCTTTAAGGGGTTTAGGGTTTAGCGTCCTTCTAGGGCTCCGGGCGTCTGGGATTCAGCCTCCATGTCAAGTTCAGTTGAATCGTTCCGAAAACACCTCCCGAAACGCTTGAAAACACTGCTCGAAAGATCAAAGCATACATCCGCCGACAGGTTGGGGCTCCGAAAGCCCATGCAAACCCTCAAACGTTCGTTTCTGCCTTGCAGTTGTACCTTAAGTCATGTGTGCATCAGGACTTGTGCACTCGCCCGAATGCCTGGGCACGGCGGAGGTTCCGCACTCATGACTGATCCTCCATGCCAAGCCCTAAGTGCTTCCAGAAATCCGACAGTTCCCGGGACCGGAAAATTGAAAAACTAGATCCAATCCTCCAATCCAACCTAGGGTTTATAAATCCAGAAAAATGAGTTATGCCCACAACCTGAAACCCTGAACAGCAAATAATCTAAAACCGGCCTCAAGAACAAAAAGCTACACGCCAGCTAAGAACATTCCTAAACTCTAGGTCAGTCTTGCCTTGACAGGATGTCATTCACCATAACGGTTAAGGCTATCATATTACATATTGCTACAGACGGTGCCAGCATTCACCCTGCACGCTCAGAATCCGCAGCTTCACCCAAATATCCCCCATCCTATGCCCAAAAGCGGAACCCCGCAACCTCCATGAACCCTTGCCCTGGGCCTCCAAATAGCCCAAAGTAGGTATTATTTACAGACTTTAGGCCTCAAAGTAGGTACTATTTGTATACTTGGAGCCCCAGAGTTGCGTATCCTGACTACAAACCTCACAACCTGCTGTTACGGGCAAAGAGGTCCATCAGGAGCTCGTGGCGCTTGACGCGAAGGTTCATGGGCACCATCCAGAACAGCAGGGTCCCGGGGAGCCTTTTGGAACCCTTTTGGAGCCTCTTGGAAACCTTTTGAGATTTCTTTTTTGGGGGGATTCCTTTGGGTTGCTAGGGTCCGTTTTCGGATTCCTTAAAGGGACCTATAAGGGTTTCTGTAGGGGTGCTTCTCTAAATTAGGGGTCTCTCCCAACTAGTGCGGCAACCTTACAGAACGGATCTCCATCGAGAGAACTGCTCATATAACTCCAGGGGTGACTTCGGGGTTGAAGATGCGTGCTTTGTAGGTCTAGGCATTCGAGTACAGGATCGGGCTTGGGAGGATTTCGGATTTATCACGTTTGGGGTTCGGGTGCGGGACCAGGGCCGAGACATGAGCAGGCTACTAGTAGCACGGAGTTAAGGTGGTATTGAGGATTTTGTTAGGAATTTCTTTGGTGATAATGGATTTGGGGATTCGAGTTTCGGGTTGAGTGTGCAAGATCGGAAGTGCAGAATGCAGGCTTGTGTCTCTAGGATTGGGGCTTTGGTGACTCGGGCTCAACAATGCAGGCAAGCAGCGAAGTCATGAACCCTCTCTCTCTCTCTCTCTCTCTCTCTCTCTCTCTCTCTCTCTCACTCTCACTCTCACTCTCTCTGTCTCTCTCTCTCTCTCTCTCTCTGTCTCTCTCTCTCGCTCTCTCTTCCAGGCGATCGAAACGTCATGAACCCTTGAACCCTAAATCCTGTTGCCTAAACCCCACTATCCAAACCAAACCCCTCAGCCCTGTAGAGCCCTTGAGCGAAACCTCGTAAGGACTTACACCCTGAGTCAAAGCACCGCACACAAAAACACAGATCCGATCTCGCCAAGAGGCCCGGCACGCAACTCGCTTTCCCTTTCCAAGCCGTGAACCTGGCTGCGCGTGCGCGTGTCTTGTTTTAGTCGGGGCTGGGTTTCAGCTGGGCATGATAAGGGTTTAGGACTTCAGGTGAAACCCTTTGTAAACTGCCTAAAAAAGCCTACGAAACTCTTGACCTCAAACTCCGAGAGCCCTTGTGCTGGCCTGCAAAGACAATCCGGGCATGCCAGTCTTGTCTCGCGCCTCCTGCTGCTGCTTTTGGGTTTAGGGGTTGGGATTTTGGAATTTAAGACTTCGGGTTTAGGATTTGGGGTTTGTCGGCAGCACAATAAAAATGGTTGTAGATTTAATTTACACATTTATGGACCTATGGATTTAGGGTTTAAGGTCAAAGGTTCAGTGGTTTAGGGCTCAACAGTTGTTGCGTTTAGGGCTTGAAACTCTTTGGTGTCTCAGGAGTATAGGGTTTGAAATTATAATTATGGAATTATCAAGGCCGTACGGGTGCTCAAAAGGGTTCTATACGGGCTTTGTAATAGTGCTAATAAGTTGGCGAGAACAGGGTTTTGTGAGGGTTTGGATAAGGATTCATAGGGCTTTATGAGGTTCTACAGTATATTACAAGGCTATGCGGGGTATACAAGGCTTAATGTAGGTGGCCCTGAAGAATTAGAATAGGGCGGGTCATTGCGAAGTGTTGGAAGCCTCCGTACTACTACTACGGTGTACATAGGGGCGAATCCGGTGCGATAGTCGAGGATATATACACAGGCTGGAACACAATACATGCTATGCAGGCTATCCTACAACCCATGATGCAGCTTTGTCAAAGCACACAATAGGTTTTGCTGGAAGTGTTCGGGATGAGAGCAGCCATTGACACCTTATCGTATCAACGCTTGAGGATTCATGCTTCGTTGAAGTTCCACGAGTTCGCAAGCAATCAGGCCAACTAATGATCTCCAATGTACCTCCAATTTCGGTTTCTCTGCTTGTGTATTATAGCATCCGAACCACGACAATGACAATAAACTTGCTTAACCAACTGAAGCAATCCAAAACCCTCCACCCGAATCGCAAACACGTTTTCCCGAGATCCTCGGTTACCGGTTCCCCCACGTCCTGGACAAGGTCCTCCACCTCCCCCAAAGACAAGGTGCTGTCGCCCCTTTCCTGGGTTGCAGCTCGAGGGCTGCGCCCGACAACCGAAACCATTCACAGGAAAGAAGCAAAACACGCTACCACACGACTGAATCCTAAACTGCTTATGCCTCAACGGGACACAACAATGAACATACACCAAAATCCCACCTTGCAGTTGTGCAACAAGCGCTACACCACAAAACCCTTCATGGGGACCACTTGCCACCTCGTTGCCCCCCGTAGGCAGAGTGCGAATCCCAGGTTGCGAAAGCCGCCTGCGAGGCTGTGAATCCGTGGGTCTCAAATGACGTAGACCCCGGCTTCACCAACTCCTTTTCTTTAAGGGCCTTAAGACTACCTGGGCCCCAAAAGTAGGTAGAATAATGGCCTTCTTATAGGCTTATAGGTATGAGGCCATTATTCTACCTACTTTGGGGGGGTTTAGGTGTAGCCCTTAATGTTTACCACCGGCCGTAATCTTCGTTGAAGGACGAGGGTTTATGAACCAGGGGCGTGTGTATTACATTGTGCTTTAGGGGCACTTATCTGTAATTGGAGTCATAGTTGCAACGGGGCTTATACAGGGCCTTAATGGGCTTCTTTTCCGAGCTTGAAGATAGGGCCTCAGTCAAGTATACCAAGGTGCGTGGATATTCTATACAGTGTAAACCATTATATGGAGACTATCCGCGCAATTTTTATGCTAGCTATTCAAACCCCGATGTAGACACTACATATTTGCACCCTTGTTGCGAGGACCCTTAGACAAGGTCTCTCCAAATTCAGGAAATCCCACCTAGCAAAGGCAGCTGGGAAACGTTCAAGTTGAAGGCCATGTGTGTGTGTATATATATATATATATATATATATAATATACGCATGTGTATATTTATACCCATCGCTATCAATGTAACATGTGTATATATATATATATATACATACATGTGTATCTCTGTGTGTGCCTGTGTATGTATGGACGCATGTACCTTTTCTGTTTAGAACAACAGGGGATTGCAGGTTTGGGGAAATAGTGTAGTACGATTTAAAAACACAGCGACAGCTAAGGAATGGCATCGGTCGTCCTCCCGACCCCCTTTCCTAAATCCCCTAAAAGTAGGTTTATTCTACATACTTTTGGGATCCAAGTAGTAACCCTTTTTAAACCCAGACTCCGCCGATCAGCTGGGAAGCACTGCAGGTAGTAACTCTAACCCCTAAACCCCTAAACCCCCCTAAACCCCTAAACCCTAAACCCCTAAACCCTAAACCCTAAACCCCTAAACCCCTAAACCCCTAAACCCTAAACCCTAAACCCCTAAACCCTAAACCCTAAACCCTAAACAATACTTGTGGGGTCCAGGATATGAGGCCTGGGCTTCAGGGCGAGGGTTGCTGGTGGTCGGGCTTAGGGTTGGGGCTTAGGAGGATGATAGTGTAGGGTTCGACTTTCTTGTAGGCATGTATGTCTGTAAAGGCGATATATATACATATATATATGTATATATATATATATATATATATATCTATGTGTGTGTATACATACGTATAACTGAAAGAACCTATGTATGTACACATCTCAGAACGGCTTACCAATTCTGCATCGACAGTGTTCATGCGTGTACCAGTTCCACAAGATCATCCCTGTCATAGCATAGGTTAATAATTCCATATACTGGTAGTGTGCGTTTGTGGGTGTGTAGAACTGGGTTACTGAAGCGAAGATCGGGTAGCCGGCCTTGTCTCTGCAGTTGTTGGAGGAAGGTGATTCGACCTCCCGCTGTCTCAGCGCATGACTGCGGATCTTTGTCATGCTGGAAGGTCGCAAGTCAAGCAGTGAAGCAAGTCAGAGGACCCAAATTCTGAAAAACACTTTGGCTGTGAACCCTACAACTCCCAAACCCCCCAAACCACTTTCACCCGAAACCCTAAACCCCAAATCCCTCAAACTTTTTGAACACTATAGACTCTAGCTCTGGACCATAAATACCACACCCCTCAAATCACTCTAACCCTGAAGTCTGAATCTTAACCCTTTCCAACCTCCTATATTCTGGGAGCCTCCAGCCCCAGCCCTTGAACATCCGAAATTCTTCCTCAAAGCCGTAAATAGGCTGCTTTTCGGCAGTGTAAAAGCTTCTTTTTTTTAGACGGCCCTTTTCTCCCCTCGCTGTTGGTCAGAAAGTGTAAAAGTTTAAGGTGCAGCGGTTTTCTCCCTCCTACTAAGATGCAGCGGTTAAGGTTAAGGCTTTTGGTGCTACGCCGGCAACACTGGCGCCTACGTCCAACATCTGTGGGAAAGCCAGGCCGAGGAAACCGTCGAATTCCCTTGGCGGAGGACTTCATCGTAAAATCATATTGCCAAAAGCAACTTCCAAGAGGTATACCAAATGCTAGATTTTGCAATTCTAACAATCTCTTGGAGTTCTATTCTACTAGAAGTTTATAAGCTAATTCCTGCGAGGAATAAAGAGGCGAGAATGGGGACGCCGGGCAAGACTTTGTGAGAGTTGAGAGTTTGGGGTTTCGGGCTGAAGTGCGTCACATTGGTTCGTTTCGGAATGTAGGTGTTGCAAGGTCTGTCGCACGAACGCTTTGCGAATTTGGGTTTTATAACCTTTCGAAGGTGCGGGTGCTAGCGGCTGGCCAAGCAAAAATCAAAGCAACTATCAGAACAAATGATGGCAATTAACACGAACAAGGGGAAAGAAACTGAACCCCGCGTTGGAGTGGCTCTGACTTCGGCAAAACAAAGTCCGAGTTGCCTGACCTCTAGTTGCATACATACTCATCGGTGGACAGACAGCTAGATAGACTTAACGTCTAGAGTCTCGAGGCACATACTTACTTCATGAATTGGGAATGCTCCAGATGCTCCGAGTTTTGATGGCTTAAACTTCAGGCTGCAGACTTCTTATAGCTCTGGGAGGGGGATTATTTCCGGAGTGCTGCTTTGCGAAATTCCGGCGGAGCATATACACCACACAGCTCGACTGAGCTTCGCCACTTAAATTGAGCTTAGAAGCTTCCACTGCTAACCTCTAACACATCCTGTGCACCCCAATGTTACAAGGCCTAAATGGGCCAAAAGGCCGTATCTCGACGAAAAGGCACTGCGCAACCGGCAAATATGACCTTCAGCCCAAATCCTGTCCCCTCTCCCTCCCCGGACTTGTTCAGTACCACATACCCGAGGGTGCCATGGAAAGGGCTCAGTGGAACCAGCAACGACACAGAGACCTAAACCCTGAGTTTCCCTGAATGCCCTGACATCACTAAGCCCGAATCTGATCTCCTAAACCCTAGGCTTGTCGACCCTGAACCTTGCAGTATGATAGCTTTGGCCTCGAACTTTAATCCCTAAACCAGGAAAAGATAAGCCATACAAAAAACCTAGCCTGAACTTAACCCTTCCCTCCCTCCGACCCTCCAGAACAAAAGCACACGAAGAACACTCAAAGGTACTGCATATTGCTGACGACTATTGTTGAACACCTTCTCCTTTGTTTTGCTCATGAATGCCCTGGTTCACTCAAAGGTGCTGAAGATTGCCGATGTTGTTGATGACCTGTGCCAGGAGGAAGTCCTGGATCAGCTGTAGCATAAGGGCCTTAAAATTAGAGCAGGGTGTTTGGGATATGTATACTGTGACTGCAAGCGGTCGGGGGTCTCTGTTTTGGGGAAGAAGGGTCGCTCAAGAGTTCAAGGGTCTGGAACTTCGCCTACTTGCGCGATGGACTTTCCCGTAGCTGAACTATGGCAGAATGTTAAGAAACTGAGGAACATCGGCCCTGAAAAATTCCCAGGGAGTAGATTGAGCTCTTCGAGCCACATATGTCTGACTATAAAAAAACAACTAAGCAATAATAGACCTGTCCCACTAAAATCATGCAATCAAACAAGAATGAAGCTTTCCCAGCGGTACTGGGTTCGCTGTGATTCAGGTCCTGGTGCTGCACACAAAGCTTTCCGAGGCATACTTGCCCAGAGGCTGCCTTGCCAGCCACGTCCTTGCTTCATGTCAAAGGGGAAAAGGAGGGACCCTTAATGGGAACCCCTACCCTATAGTGGGCTATATACTGGGTATATTATGGATATATTAGGTTCATATACCTAGGGCCCTAGGGGTCCTTATTAAGGGTCCCTCCTTTTACCCCTGGATCATGGGTTGCTATCCCAGAGGGTCCATATACACTACAATTATGGAATCAGGTCCCAAAAGACCATCCTTATCATGGTTTTGTGGACCTATTTCCTTAGTTGTAGTGTACATGGACCCTCTTGGTATGGAACCTACATCAAGTAATGAGGACCTTAACCAGATAGAGTAGTGTACCCAGTTTTCGGTGTTTTACTTGGCGTCAACAAAAGCGAAACACCTAATCTAAGTTACCAGTACAGGAAAAGCACGCCAGTTTCGATAACTCCGCTGCTATGGTAGTTTTTTAGCGGTAGTTCCTTAAACCAGGACCCGGTCAGTTGAACTTACCTTTACCCCCCAGAGTAGGTAAAATCATGGCCCAATACCCATAAAAGGCTATTATTCGACATACTTTTGGGGTCCAGGTATACAAAACACATTAGGATTCTCTACATTTGCGTCTTCAGCAGGTACAAAAATCAGATTCACCGCGCGAGCCCGATTCGTCTAAGTGCCGTGTCAAAAAGCAGAGCCACGTCATAAGCAGCCATTAAACCCCAACTGAGCAAAAGTCCGGCCTAACTCATGGATTCAGATTTTCCCAAAGGGTCCAAGTATCATTATGGTATATACTTATCGGTTATTTTGGGGGGTCTAAGTATATACCATAATGATACTTGGACCTGCAAGTGAGGGATTGGGAGCTTGGAGACCCCACGAACCTAGCTGCCTGCAGACCTCTGGTAGTGTAGGAACTTGACTAAGAAATCCTGGCGCCTCTCACCTTGAAGCCATATGATTCATAAAAAGAACCCCGAATACAGACCCAAGGTTTCTTAATCAGGTTAGTATAATGTGAATTATAATGATATTGCACAGCACCTGGAAGTCTGCCTCCGGCTTCTGCCGGACCCGTGATTAGAAGTAGAAGCTCCCTACAGGCTTCAGGCGAAATCCTGCCGGAGACAAATTTTCCCTAAACCCTGAACCCAAGCCCTAAACGCAAACCCTAGCCCCTAAACCGTGAACCCTGAACCATAAACCCTGAACCCCTAACCCCGTTTTGCAGCAGGCCTCGTTGCCCAGGAGCCCGGCGACAGCATGAACCCCCCCGCTTATTCAATCCAAGGAGAAGAGTCGAGCTGACACTCGCGACTACACTATCTGAAACCCTTACCTAAAGAAACCCCCCCAAAGTAGGTAAAATAATGGCCCCAATACCCCATAAAAGGCTAATGTTCGACATACTTTTGGGTCCAGGTAACCCCTATACCCCTGAACCCTAAACCCAAGTCCCTAAACCGTGAACCCTGCACCACAAACCCCTAACCCCTAAACCCTGAACTGAGCATCTCCCACGCCATACTGGAAGTGCACTGCCGGCGGCCTGCATGGGGGCTCGACAGGTTTGGGGGTATAGGGTCTAGGGGTTTGGGGTGTAAGGGTTAAGGGTTTAGGGTTTAAGGGTTACGGGTTTAAGGTTTAAGGGTTAAGGGTTTGGGGTTTAGGGTCTAGGGGTTTGGAATTTAAGGGTTAAGGGTTTAAGGATTAAGGGCTTGGGGTTTAAGGGTTAAGGGTCTACGGGTTAAGGGTTTAGGGTTTAAGGGTTAAGGAGTTGGGGTTTAGGGTCTAGGGGTTTGGGGTTTAAGGGTTACGGGTTTAAGAGTTAATGGTTAAGGGTTTGGGGTTTAAGGGTTAGGGGTTTAGGGTTTTAGGGTTTAGGGTTTAAGGGTTAACGGTTTAGGGTTTAAGGGTTAAGGGTTAAGGAATTGAGGGTTTAGGGTCTAGGGGTTTGGGGTTTAAGGGTTAAGGGTTTAAGGGTTAATGGTTAAGGGTTTGGGGTTTAAGGGTTAGGGGTTTAGGGTTTAAGGGTTTTAGGGTTTAGGGTTTAAGGGTTAACGGTTTAGGGTTTAAGGGTTAAGTTTTTTTGTTTAAGTGCAGTGGCTCTTTCTGTGCTAAGGGTCTTTTTTTGTTTTTGAGGGCTTTTTTCCATCTGTCCAGCAGCTAGAATTCCTTTACCTGTGCTAAGGGTTTAGGGTTAAGGGTTTAAGGGTGTAGGGTTTAGGCTTGAAGTGTTGGGATGAAGTCTAAACCCGAAACTAACACGATCCTAGGCAGGACGCAAGCACCTGGGCAGTTGACTTGAGCTACCAGAAGCTACTTTTCTGTGGGGTCCCCATGACTTTTATATCAGGACTTGAAGTAAGAACCTACCAACATGCAGGTTTCGGCATCGAAGTTGGGATTCAGCTATAATCAAGCTGAAGGATACTTATTTCTCAAACGATTAACACCTTACACCCTGTACCCCTTCACAGAACAGAAACAGTATATACCCTAGTAAACTAAACCCTGCAAGGAATCAAACAACAAGGGGCCTGGGACCAAGCTCGAATGAGTCGACGGAGTCCAGCTCCATGATCCCGAACTCAGACCGCTGCTTTACCCACATGTTGCCTGGCTTCGAAGCTTTCAAAAAAAAACTTGAGGCTCTATAATACGATAATACAGGGGCATGAATAATCAACAGAGGATTGTGGGGCCCATGATAGTTAGAACAAGGAACCCCCCCAAAACAGTATAGGTGATTATTTAAGCTCTTTAGGGAGTCGGGCCTGGAAGTTAAGGCTTCGACAATAATCCCCCAAAAGTTTGGCGATTGCAGTCATCTTGAATGGCAGCCTCAAGGCATATGAGGTTTCCGACAATAGCGGACCCTAATGTAGTACACTAAACAGTAGGATTCTTGTTACAGGGACCCCAAAATGAGGTACCCCAAGTTTGGGAAACTCCCGCATGGTTCCACTCCGAAGGCCCCCACAAGTCTGACAATCACTGGTGACCTCACGTGCAGCCTACCGAACAGAACTCGCGACGCGCGAAAAGCTTCATGCTGGAGTCGAGCTAGTAATAGGGTCCCGGAGGATATGATGCTATGATTATAATAAGGAACCCGAAACCCGATTATGATTATCAAGGCCTCTACATTATAGTGCTTCTTTACCTGCACCCCCTCCTTATCATATCTCTGGGAGCAAAGGAGCCAAAGCTCGAAGCATGTAGTCTTGCTGCATAATGTCTAATGTGTGCCGTGGCATGCCCCACCAGCATCCCACAACTCTCGGAGAGAGAGAGAGAGAGAGAGAGAGAGAGATATATATATATATATATATATGTATATGTATATATACATTACACTCAGAGTGCAATAAAGACAGTGCAAAACAAAATCCCAGCCCTGGGCCATGCCCCCGAAAGCCCTCCAGCTGCAAGAAGGGCTGCTGGATCCTGAGTCCACCATCATCTTCACAGGGACTGGCGGTGTGCCCACCTGAGCAAGCTGCAACGAACATGGAGCAGAATGTGGTGTTGTGATTTAACATGCCGGTGTGTGCCAAGCTTCCGATCTGAAAGGTTCCTTCTGGAGATCCCGAAGAGGAGTGTGCCACAAAAACTGACCGAATCTGATTGACTGACTGACTGGCTGACTGACTTAGAAAACGGAAGCGATGTTCAAAATTGTTGGGCTCCGTTCCGCATCCCGTCAGTTGTAGGTTACTGCGGCATACCGGCACCTAAACCCTGAACCCTAAACCACCAAACTTCAAACGAAATCACTTCGGCTGCGCCTCCATCGACGCAGTGTAGAAGGTCTGGAGGTTGTGGAGGCGGATCGTCCTTAGGCTCGTTCATGGCTCCGTTCAGGCTTTGGGACTACCTAAACCCATAAAAAGTAAGTAAAATGATCGAAAACGTCGTCGTCGCACCTACGATTCGGAATAAAACACCTTAACCCCGAAAAGGTAGGTAAATAATGGCCCAATGGCCCAATACCTATAAAAAGGCCATTATTCCACATACTTTTGTGGGTCCAAGTAGGCTTAAGGGGTTTATCGGTGGCCCTGGCATAATGCACATGTCGCTGCAGCAGCAGCTGATAAATCCGCAACATTTTCTTTCAGGTCACATCATGTGCAAAAGAGCAGCAGCAGTAGCGGTGTTAGCAGTCGCAATCGCAGTCGGAGTCACAGTCGCAGTCCGAGTAGTCGTGGCAGCAGGAGTAGTAGTAGTCGTCGTCGTAGCAGTAGCAGTGCGACTAGTATAGTGATAAGAAGAAGTAGTAGTAGTAGTAGAAGTAGTAGTAGTAGCAGAAGAAGAAGTAGTGGTAGTGGTAGTGGTAGTAGCAGTAGCAGTAGCAGTAGCAGTAGCAGTAGCAGTAGTAGTAGTAGTAGTAGTAGTAGTAGTAGTCGCAGCAGCAGTAGAGGCAGCAGCAGCAGCAGCAGATGTAGACTTCAAGCGCATGCTGCCGCCCAATCTGCCAAGCAGCATGTCTGAGGCAGCAGTCTCGGCATTCCACGAACTTGCCACCAAAATGGTAGCATTTGAGGTGCCTGCTGCAACTTGGCTCACCACTTCTGCGATATGGGTCCCACGGTGGGGGCCCTTTTGTGCAGCTAGGGGTATGTGCACCACTGCTGCCGCAAGTGGTAACAGGAGCGCATGAAAGCAGCAGGTGCCATGGCCCATTACGAATCGCGCTGCTCCCGGCACTTCAGCAAGTGCAAAAGACCTTACCACCTTATCTCTATATCTGAAAGATTGTGGCTAACTAACTGTATATTATAGCTATTTACCCAAAGTTGTGGGTGACCATGGAGGTGCGATCGCTACCGACCTGGCTGCGCTATAGGGTCACTACAGGGTCGTGTGTCCGGTGCAAATCTTGACCCAACACCTACCGGGCATTTCTAAAGTCGGGACAGCTTCTTGAATGAAACGGCACGGGACAGTAAGCCACGAAGGTTGCAGAAGCGCAGCACGAAAACAACGCCTAAAGCTAGGGAATCCAATCTGGCAAATATAATATGCATGTTGATAACAGGGTCCCTGACCGGCTACCCCACATCCTCTCAGCCGAAAGTTCCCGCAACTCCAAACCCTTGCTCTGCAGCTGTAGTTTCAGCTTCCTGGGGGCGTTCTTGTCTACAGTTGCATGTAACGTGCAAAACCGCTGACCTACAAGTTCGCAACCCCAAGTCCTACTGCTCCTCCCTCAGCGCATAAACACAGAACAAAAATGCCAAACCCGAATGAATGAACCCTGATTCATGGTGTTTTGAGGAGGATGTTGAAGCTTGTGGTGGTTGGGATTGGGACCCCTGAGACGTTGAGAATACTTTTGGGGGTCTGGGGTTTACCTTCAGGAATCAGCCTGAGGGGTTCTGCAGGGTAACAACATCTGTGAAGTCTGTGGGTTTAGGGTTTAGGGGTTTAGGGGTTTAGGGAGCATAAACATTCAGAAGGGCTTGACCTTGCAGTAAAGCGTACGGTGCTCCATATATCTTATAACACAAACTCTGCATCTTTTATGAGCCGCAAACGCTTCTAGGTTCCATAATGGGACGCAGGGTCTCTGGGTTTACTTGCGGACCTGGACTTTCGAGCTGACGTGTTTCGTTAGGCGTCAACCGCGGATCATTGCAGGATGGTTGGGTTTACGTAGTAAATCGGTCGACATGGAGCACCGCAGTTGGGGCTATCCCTTCTCACGCAACCTGCAGGCTATACTGCACAATAGTTCTGCCATTTGGGGTATGTAGAATAATAATAGCCTTTCAAGGGAATTGGGCCATGATTTTACCTACTTTGGGGGGTTTAGGGCATGGACTATTGTAAAGGTTCTTGCCGACAACCGCCGGGTTCCTGACAAAAGCCTCTCTAAGAGCTTCTGGTGTCCTGGTAGGGCTTGGTGTGTAGGGTTCAGGGCTTGGGATCCGAAGTTTGGGGGGTTTGTTTTTTTGCGACTTGGGGCTCAGGTGCGTGTTCCATCAGAACCTGAGGTCGATCAGCGAAACAAAATCCCCAAAGCCAAAGTAACTCCAAAGGCGAATCAGGCCCTAAACCTTCGCCGATAAAACTTGAACCCAACACCTTCAACTCTGCAAAACAAGCTACCAGCCCTAAACACCTTGGAAGCTTGCAGACTTTCTAACGAAAGGCGCAAGGGTTTGCAGGTAGGCAAGAGGGTCAGTTAAGAACCCCTATAGACTTACCTTTGGTTAGTAGGGAATGGAAGAATGGTAGTAATAGTATTTATCATTGTACCCCATTCCTCCCATTCCCTACTAACCAAAGGTAAGTAGATCGTGATTAACCGCCCATAAAACCCTAAGTTTCCAAACGAGACATTCAAGGAGCCCCCGGTCCCCAAAACCCCTACCTTGAACTGCCAAAACCTACTATTTTGTAGTTTAGGGTTTAGGGTTTAGGGTTTAGGGTCCCTATAATTTCCATATTAGGGCTTGTACTTAGAACCTACAATAAAGAATAATCAGAATAGGGTACAGTAGAAGCCAGAAAATTGGAACATGGGTTTAGGAGGATTAGTGCTAGGATCCCTTATACTTTAAGGGCATGAGGATAATGATGTTCCAACTTTCTGGCTTCTACTGTATAGTAGGAACCCTTAACTAACGATTCCCTCATGGGGCCCTAAAGAGGCCCCCACAGGAGTAGGCACATGTCCCCAAAACCCTGAAAGGCACCGGTTTTGGAAGCCTCGGAGGCTGGAAGATCCCCCAAGAAACGCAAAACCCCAAAACCCTAAACCCCTAAACCCTGAACCCCTAAACCCCCAAACCCCTACCCTAAATCCTAAACCGCGAAGAAGGAGACCCCAGTCCTCGCAACAGGAAGCTCGAAGACTTCGCAGAACTTGGGATTCCTGGTCCTGCAGTGGAGGGTTCATTGTGTTTTAGGAGCTCTGGGTTTCTTTGACACTCAGGGTTTAGAGGGATCAGGGTGTGTTTTAAAGTGCCGTCCCAGTCCGCGAGGAATCGGGTTGCTTCTACCGGAGGGCCCATGTACCTATTCAGTACATACTTCTGCCTTAAACAGGCTCCCATGGAGGTGTACGTATTATCCTTGCCACAGGGTTTGAGAATGTAGGGGGAAATAGGTCCCAATAGCCCCTAAACCCTCAATCAAGTTAGGCTTTGGGGTCCCTCCCAATCTGGGTTCAACGGTCAACCCTGTAGTCACTGGAGGGAGCCTTGACTCTACAACCTGAACCTCAAGAGTGAAGCAATCAGACGTTTAAGCAATCAGACCTTAATCCTAAACCCGTTTTTGTCAAACTCCGCAACCCCGAAGCCTAAAGCCCCAAAAGCCCAAAACTGGAAAGCGCCAATGCCCTTCAATCCGAAAGGGCAAGCGACCCTGCTGTCCTAATCTGCACCTTGCTTTGCTGGCGGAAGCAGAAGCCGCTAGCGGATGTCGCGATGACCTGCAACTTGCAACCCCAATGGCAGGCTCCGGGTTCAAAGAGAGTTTGATAGGATTCGCGGCTGCTGAAGGGGCACAGCTAGGACAGACAGATTTCGAGGGGCTCCAGTCGCTCAAGCTGTTGGATTATCGGTGGACAGCGTTGTCCAAACTGCGGGGCGTCATACCTCTAGATCCTTTCCGTGTTCGAGGTTTGCCGCTAAATTCTAGCATCCGTTTGGGGGTCGACGTGTTCTGCCTCCTGGAAAATAGATAGACTGGAACCAGGAAACCAAAACCTATATGTGGATGGATAGGTAGATAAACAGATAGATTCAGATAGGTAGATAGAAAATAGATCAGCAAATAAATAGCTAGATCTCGGAACACATTCATTGGGCTAGCACTTCCTGAGCCCAAAGTTTCAATCCCGATATCAGACCATGGCCCCTCAAACCCTAAGCCCTGAAAGCCGAAAAGCCTCGTCAATAGCCCTAAAACTTGGGTACTGCCCCCATGCAGCAAGAGTCAGAGTCCATAACACGGCTACTATTAAGGGCCCAATATATCTATATTATGAATACATATTCAACTATCACTGAGTGGGGGCAGAACCCAACCGGAAAGCCTAAAGGGCCCCACCTACAAGTCTACAACAAAAACCGACAGCCGCATAAACCCTGAGCCCTCAAGACCCTGTACAGATAACCCTAAACCCTAGAAGCCCTAGAGCCCTGAATCACTCCGTGTCGTATTGTTACCCGTACCATCAATATCACAACTAGTATGAATTACTCTTACGAATTACTTGTGGTAAGGGTTGTATATGTTGGTGCTTTTGACTAATATTGTTAGTATATTGTAGTGTTCTGGCTATTGGTCCTGTTACCATTATGAGTATTATTATTTTTTATTATTATTATTACTATTATTATTATTATTGTAAGACTAAACTGTTCTCATTTTCTCTAATGCCCCAGAGCCTCCACGAATGGGTCGGACGTTCCCTCGAAGATACAAAGGTCCTGGCCGGGGGGATCGTGGGGCTTACGGCCGAATAGAGAGGCCTTAGGATTTTGGGGCTTGGGAAAGTTCCGGCTTAGGGTTGAGGAGTTAGGGTTTAGGGTTTAGGGTTTAGGGTCTGGCTTAGGGTTGAGGAGTTTGGGAGTTTACTTACTGTTCAGGGATTTCAAAGAGGTGGAGTTTAGGATAGCTTAATAAAGCGTTTACGGTGCAGGGTTTTCAGGTGTTCACGGGGTTAGCGTTTAGATATCCCGCCACAGGGTGAATGGAAGCATGGCTCTACTTACTCGACTTTGCGTACACAACACTCCTCTATGCAACCGAAACAACAAGCAAACCGCAGCGGCCAGCGTGATGTCCCCGCAAATCCCCGCATCAAGCACATTAAGACGTCCTGTCATCATAAGCCGGTGTGACACCTCCGATCAAGCCCGAAATTGCCCGAAACTCTGCAAAGCTTCCAAGACTAAACTACGGAAGATACCCGAAATTTCATTTCGAAGCTTCGAGAGGCGGAAAAATGCGGGCGCCTCCCGTGGCAGGTTTTCTGCCTGGACGACCTCCACCTCAGAAGGGAACTCTTCTAGGCCTCCTTTACGGGTTACTACTAAGGTGTTTTGGGGTTTAGGGTGCCAGGGTTCAGGGTTTAAGGCTTTACCCTAAGGCTCCAAAGTAGTTCCTTTTTGGGGTTCATAGATAGACTCCTATAAGGTAAATCCCAAAAAGGAACTACTACGGAGCCCCTGGGTAAGGGTCAGAGGTTCGGGCTTAGGGCTGCAACTCCCTCAGAAGCCCTGCTAGACCGAGGACTGTGGTAATTATTGTGTTTGGATACATTGTTTTCCGATTGTATAATTGTATAAGGTTTTAATATGCAAGGTTGTAAACATTTGTAAACCGAAGAAGTGCAACAATCCAGCGCAAGCAAAAAGGCTACAGCACCTGAACGTACTCATTCTTATTAGGGCGCAAGGAGTTTAAGGGTCGGGTGCTAGGGAACCTCGTCTCAATTCCGAAAGCCGACTGCAGTGACTGCAGATCGCAGAACCTTCTCTTACGGCGTAGGCTGAGAACGAAACAAGGAGTGAGAACGAGGCAAACATCTGGATGGTTGTCAAAGTTAGGATCCCTTTTGGTGTACACTAAATACTAGGTGCCGTATTATAATCGGGACCCAAAAAGGGACCTAATTTTGACAACTACCCATGTGGCATTGCTGGTATAAGGCTGAAGACACCGGT